ATAATAATAATAATAATAATAATAAATTGACCGTGGCGCACCGCCACGGCTAAAGAAAAGCTGCCACACCTTCGGAATGAAAAAAATTTTTTTAAACATAAAACGGCTTGACACAACCAGTGTTTAGGTTGTCTGAGACAACCCATTTTCGTTTCGGACAACCAGATCCCACCTCCCGGTTGTCCGGTGGACCAAGAAAAAAAGACGTGGATTTAAGTTTTCCTCYGCGGGTGTTCGTCACTGTTAAAATGAACGAGAGAAAAAAAAACTTGTTAAAGCCGTCTCTGGATTAAACTGACTGTTCTTTCACCCAATAAAGAGAACCAGAGTCAAAGTTTTGTCCAATCAGAACAGAGCAGGGTGGGTCGTACCGTCTGACTGACAGCACTGCCTTTTTTTCTTTCTCTGTGGGTGGGGGCTCAGCTTCCCTCAGCACAGGTGAACACCTCCCGGGAAAGCCCTCAGCATATCCTGGACTATTTTCCACTGAGGATTATGTCGTATTTTATATATATTTCTAAAAGCAGCTCACAGCATTCCTCCTGTAACACTGTGTGTTCACGAGCACAACAACACAGCGACAGATCAGCTGACTGGTTTTAAAGCGAGGGCTGAGAGGCAGTTTGACCGCAGCTGCTGTAACTGTCCACCTGCAGCGCGGCTCCGACCAGCCCGGGACTTTAGAGTCCACATGTCAACCCCTTCAGATGGTTACTTGTATAATGAGCTTCAAACATCCGTAATTTGTGCAAATAAATCTGTATTAATCACACACGGGTGGAGCGGAGGTGTAAGTGGACTAAAGCCGTGCGGAGTCGAATTGTGTGTGTGTGTGTGTGTGTGTGTGTGTGTGTGGGGGGGGTCTTTTAAACATGTCTACGTTTGACTTATTTTTTTCTAAAATCACAGAGTTCTCTGAATAAGCTTCAGGTCTTTGTAGTTAATCATGAATATGGTAAAATGGTAAATATCTGTACGCCCAGTATCTGTTAAAGGGATCCTCGATTAATACCTTTAATCTTAGGGTTGTTCCGTAAAGCCACTGCGAGTGGTTCAATCGCGATTGCGAATAAGAGTGGCGAGAGTGGGCAC